TTTTTTTTTTTTTTCCCCCGAGGAGTTGCGCGAGAAGAAGCTCGCCATCATCATTGAGATTATCGAGAGAGCGATCATACGCACTGATTCGCGTGGGCGAATATCGATTCGTGAGTACAATCTATTGTTCGAATATTATTCGGCCTCTCTCTCTCTCTCTCTCTCTCTCTCTCTCGTCTCGTGACGGCGCGCAACGTTTGGCATATTATATCGGGTGGGCGTCGAGGCCTGAATACCAAATGGCGCGCTTCCATAACGCGCCAGAAACGAAACTAACCGACATAACTGCGCGGATAAAAGCTATCGGAAAAACGTGCGGGAGGCCTCGCCTCGCCTCGCTTTCTTTGTCGACACGACCCACTTTGAGTCGAGTCCGGCATTTTTCTTGTTTGACATTTGCAATCGGCGCATCATCCGCGGCAAAACTTTGTCACGTTCACCGTCAAGTGCATTGCTTTTGTTGCACGCGCTGAAAGTCACAGGTCGATGAATTGACTTACTTTTTAGATATAGGGGCTAAACGATGGCATCTCGAGAGTGGTAATGGAAGCGGCGGTGAGTAACGGAAGCGATACCTATTATTGATGATTTTGCAGCTGGCGTGTCAATATCAATGCTTTATAATCAATCTGTCAAATGACGATGTTGTTCCATCTTTTAACATAAATTTGTCAGTACAGACTACGCTATTATCTGTACTGTGCATTTACAAAACGAGCACGAATGTGCGAAAGTGTCTTAAAATTGAAGCAACAAAGTATAGTTAATCATTGTTTCTCTTGTCATGTACAGCGTATCGTTTGCTTCTTTATTTTCGTCTCGCTTTTCGTAGCACGTGACTGTGATACTGGTGAAATTCTCACGGCAGCGCTTCGCTTTTTATCTTTCGCAATTTCAATTTCATCTTGCTGCCATAAATGAGTCGATTCTCTTTCTGTAAATATAAATATTATGTTCAATGTCTAAAGCGTTTTGCAAAATCGATTTTGATTCAATGCTCCCAAGGTAGAAATGCAGTTGTACATTTTTTTTAAAATTAATTATTAACAATCATGTGTGTATTTTGACTGAAGGACTGTTTTTTGTGGCAATATATCGCTATATCGGAAATTAATGTATCTATTTTCTATGCTATCTGCTTTTTTATAAAATCTATTATTTCTCATTTTAATTCAATTAACAATAATAATTAATAATATAAACTCTTTCTAAAAGTTTTTAATATAGATATGTAAACTTTGAAGAGAAATGTTATAAAATTAGATAATTTCTCTTATACATTTACTACAAGAACAAAAATTCGATAAGAAATTTAAGAGTTAAGCTCTTGGGATAATTCATGTAGTTGTTATTCACAGAATGCGATCTAGAGAAATTTCATTCTATTGGTCATTTTGCTCTTTTTTCCGAACTTTAACTATCTTTATAGTTGTTCCTTTAAATAACTACACAATTCCTTGACAAATGATCTATGTATATGTATATTATATTCATCTATTATACGTTAGCTTCGACGTCAAAGGAATATCAAATTCAACTTTGCATATAAGATAATTTCGCAAACCTCCTTTTTTAGCATTGCGATTAAATAACTTTTTATTATTAGAGAATTGTGAAACATATTGCTGTACTATGAGCAATAAAAGAAAATGTTAAATTTTAAAGATGTGCTGTTATTAATTTTTTTTAGTTAAATAATTTTTGTTTGCTTCTCTCCCTTCCTCTCTCTCTCTCTCTCTCTCTCTCTCTTTCTCTCTAGTTGCATGATAAATAGAAATATAACAAAGAAAAGAATAACTATTTCGTTGATATATATATATATATATTTTTTTTTTATTACTCCAATTAAATTCTTTACATATTCTCTGTATGAACATTTTCACTCAGCAGCGTAAACTAATTTTCCTTTACAAAGTTTTCTCTTTAAGTACGTAGTAAAATTGTATATTTAATAATTTAATTTAATTTAATAGTATGAATGCAACTTTTGAGTCTAAAGTATCGCGTAGTTTTATATTATCTACGGTATAACATCCAGAAATGCACGAAAAGAGAATGAGAGAGAGAGAGAGAAAGAGAGAGAGAGAGAGAGAGAGAGAGAGAGAGAGAGAGAGAGAGAGAGAGATAATATATGTGAAGGAAGAGAGGAAACAGAGAGATAGAGAAAGAAAGAGAATATTCCTGAAAGCTAATTATGTGAATAGAAGGTCAAAGGGCAAACCATATATTGTGCAAAGCAAGATACCACTGCATTGGCGTATTGCTATCATCTTTATCATCTTTACACCAATGACAATGAATTACTATTTTGTTTGTTAATCAATGCATCGCATATGTACGAGATAGTTTATTATTTTTATTGATATTTTTTACAAAAATTTAAATATATATATTTCGATTTATATACTTATATCTTCAAAAATTTATACTTTGAGGCTTTCTCGCCTTTAAAAAATTTTTTTGCTACAATTAGTTAAAAAATGAAGAAGTCTGTGAAGTTTACGTATTAATTTTTCTAGTGTTTTTCATTGGTAGAACTAGTGCGCACTCAGTGCACATTAAAACTGTTGTACACTATTCTAATCTAAATATAAAAGTGAGATATTTCAATTGAGAAAATGTTCAATGTATATTTTATCAAATAGCACGACAAAATGTATTGAATATTTCGCGGTTTAATTCATTTTTATATTTTTATTAAATATACTATACATCTTTACGTCGACATCTTTATGTAGAACGGTTTTAAAATGCACTAAGTGCGCACTAGTTTTGCCAATGAAAAACGCTATTAAACTTTGGCATTTTTTTTTATATTTATATTATAATGTTGAATTATAGTTGAATTATGTTTATGTCTTAAATAAATATACCGAAATATGTATATAAGCTTGTATTAATAACATAATTTTTCCGCGTTGCGAAAGAAAAAATATACTGGAACACAAATACAACTGCATATAATTTTGATTAGTA